ATTGTATATATCTTTCCCAAATATGGTAACTTCCTGGTGATATAATTTCAAAGGGATGTTTTTGGTTTTGAAGACTGATTGTAAAGTGTTCATCCAACCTTCATTGTATAAAATTTTCCAGGTTCTTGTTAAAATTCAGGCTTGGGTATAGGAAATGAAATGTAGTTTCACTTAAATCCTCAAGAATTATGAAGTTTTATCAATTATATTGCCGAATCTTCCAAGAAATAAAGCTGTACCTGGAAATTGAATGAGAAAGCAGCAAAATCCATCACATGCAAAATGTAATGAAGCCATCTTTAGCTATCCAATGATAATAGGATGAAAATTCAGCAATAAGTCAATAAAGAATGAAGAATCATGGTTGAATGCCCAAACAGAGAGTTAATAAAATCAGCACCAGAAACACATCCTAAAGGAAAATTTGGTGAACTGTTTTCATCTACCACCCAGAAAATCTGTTTATCAAACTTATTGGCTTAAATACAAATGATACTGTCCATACCAATTTACTGTCACAGGTAATAGCTGTCTTCCCCTCTACTTCACCTCATTAGTTATTATGGATCTCTCAAATTATGAGGTTAGTTATAATTTTATGCATTCTGAAAGAACATCTTGCCTGCCTCACTTCACACCTATTTCATGTTCAACATTTTTAAAGTTCATAGATGTTTTTTAGAAGAAATTCAGTGGTTTTCAATTAAAAATAAGTAGCAAAACAAATTTATTGGCAAGGTATTGGGCTATGCTTCAGTAAAGGACACAGGGTCCAACCTAAGATGCACTGAATCCATAGGAACATCAATACACAAAGTGCTTCCCAGATTTCTTCATTTTACTATGTTGTGAATAGAAAATAATTTAGCCAGATGTGGTCGTGAAACATTTATTTCTAAGGCACAGGATTATAAAAAGAAGTTATGTAGCATGATAAATAAAACACCCAGAAACTGACAATGGGATTTGAGCTGAAATTACAAGGGCAAAGAAGCCAGCAACTAGTCCCTAAATCTCTCTCAGACTGAAAGGCTATTCTGGTTCCACCAAACATCAGACTGTAATACTAGACTGTTATACTCTCCTCAACATGGCTGGAGACTTCAATGCCATCCTGTCTTCAGTGTGGCTGAAGAATGAATGCCACCCCTAAGACCTTGCTCCTGTCTTTTCTACTTCTCTAATTACTAGTCTAATTGGGATTAAAGGCTTGTGATCCCAGGTGCTGGGATCAAAGGCATGAACTCTGTTACTGTTAGCTGTTGCATAGGCCATGGAAGCCTTAAAACTAACAGAAATCTCTCTAACTCTTAATTCTGAGCATTAGGATTAAAGGTGTGTACCACCCCTGCCTGATCTCTATAGCTTGAGGCTGTCTTTGGTTTCTGAATTCTGGGGCAAGCTTAATACTTAATATATCACCACAAGGTTATTTTGGACTTCATAACAAGAAATATGGTAGTTAGGTATTCATTGAGACAGTCTAGCTGTAAATCATAATATTGGTCTGAGTTTAAAATAACTAATCTCTGTAAATTACTTTTAATATTTTCTTGTGAAACTAAATGTAGTTTCATTATATAGACAACATCCACTTGAACAATGAAAATAAATTTTCATAATGTGCAGTTATGAGAAACATATTCTTGAAAGACTTATCACAGTAGGAAGAAAGTAAATCCATATTCTAGCTGCACTTATCTAGTCATTGGTAAGATGATCTATTTTACAAAATGAAACAACCCCTACTGATGCTGTGTATGACTGGGGTCTCTATTTAGTGTGTCTTAGGAAAAAACTAATATAGGCACTTTACTGTGGTTCATATTTTATTACACAAAATAAAATGGAAAATGTAAATTTGGAGCTCAGATTCTACAGATGAGTTATGTGAACTTCTTGATTTTTATATGTCAGCCATTTGCACTGTTCCTTTCTCTGTAGGAATCATCCACACAAAAAGTTTATGCCCATAGTCTGTTTCAGATGAGTGTTCAAAATTCAGTTGATTGTGTAAATCAGTTTCAACGACACAGGAATGATTTCTTTTTCTGGTCATTTGCAGTTATTCAATGTATTTATTATTACTTGGTAACTCAGAATGTTCTAATTCCATGCTTAAAATAGAACATAGATGCTAAGTTTGATAAATCAAGGGACATCATTTTTACTGAGGGCAATGTGTAAATATAGACCAGTTGTAAAATGCCCTGTACCAGTGTAAATATGCCCTGTTGATCATAAAATGTAAGCCTAATTCTAAATTGTCAAAGTGATTCTCCTCCATGATTTCAGAACCTGAAAAGCATTGACATTTAAGTTTAAATTGAAGTTGAGGGCTGATATGTGCCCAGAACTATATTTGATCCCTTATAAACTACAAATTGGTCAATATATGACTTTTGTAATGTTAGAATCATTATTTATTATCTATTTCACCAAAGAGTCCTTATATTATTCTCTAGGGAAAAGCTATTAGGAATAAAAGGATAATTTTTTCTCTATCAGATAATAATTAACTACTTGCCTTTCTCAACAAGGAAAGATACATGATACATTTGTAGGTGATTGTGAATTGCACTTTATTCAACACAAATGTATTGTTATATTGTTTAGAGCTAGTTTCATTCCTGTTTTAACTTAGGAAGTTATTGTAGTATCACTTGATAAAACTGAGGGGTTACTATTTTTAGATAATGTTATCACCCATCAATGTCCTTGAAAAAGTCACAATATTGGTGACTGAGATGATTCATGCATTCATGAGGAGTGAGCATCTTCTAGGTATAGAGGTACACTTGTATTTCTAGAACTTGGAGGTAAGAGTTGGGTAAAATAGGAATTTCAAGGCCATTATTGGCTACACAGAGATTTCAAGGAAAACTTAGGCTCCTATGTCTCAAAACCACACCAAAATAAAACAAGTAGAGACAATAAATAAATATGAAACTGTGTAATTATTTTTCGCCTTTTCTTCCCACAGATTTCTTACAGGCTCAAAAACTGTAATGAGGCAATATCAATAACTGCTGAGATAATTACCTTATAAGCTATAGTCAAAATAAATTTAATAAGTAATTTCATACATTGCATTAAACTAGAAAAATTAAATTCAAGAACTGAATTTATATGAATAAAGAGATGTCTTAATGTTTATGAACATTGTTCCTACAGAGGACCTAGGTTTGCTCCCCAGCATCAACTCAGCTACTTTTAATTTTCTGTAACTCCTCTTCCATGCGATCCAGAGGCCTCTTCTGGCCTCCACAATTGCCAGTCAGGCATGCATTTCATTAACATGCATGCACATAAAACAAACCTTTAGAAAACTGAACTGACTTTCAGTTTTTTAATTAATTTTCATTTAAATTAAAAACAATCATATTTTACATACCAATCCCAGTTCCCTCAGCCTCTGGTCCGTCCACTCATTCCCCTCAACAACCCTCCCTCCTATCCCCATCCATTCCTCCGGGAAGGTAAAGCCACCCACGGGGGGCAGGAGGGTCATCAAAGTCTGTCACATCATTTAGGAAAGGACTTGGACCCTCCCTCATGTATCTAGGTTAAGAGAATATCATTCCATAGGGAATGGGCTCTCAAAGCCCATTTGTACATAGGGATAAATATGGGTTTCACTGCCAAATGCCCCATTAAACTGTCCAAGATCCCTAACTGACACGTATATTCAGGGTATCTGAATCGGTCCTATGCTGGGCTCCCCCAGCTTCCACTTACTCAGATAGGCTGTTTCTGTGGGTTTCCCCAGCAAGCTCTTGACCCCTTTGCTCATCACTCCTCCCTTTCTAACAACTGGATTCCAGGTGTTTGGCTCAATGCTTAGCTATGAATCTCTGCTTCTGACTCCATCTACAGGATGGCTTTTAAGGTAATCATCAATCTCAGTATAGGGGAAGAACATTTCAGTTAGCCTCTCCACTATTGCTTAGATTCTTAGTTGGCTTCATCCTTGTGAATCCCTGAGATTTCCCTAGTGCCAGGTTTCTCATTAAGCTCATAATGGCTCCCTCCATCAAAACATCTCTTTCCTTGGTATCATTCTCTAGTGTCCCCCGAAATTTAACGTTCCTCTTCCCCCATATTCTCCTCCCGCTTCTGTTCCTCCTCTCCTCTTTCTCCTATTTACATTTTATATAAAATTTTATATTTCCAATTACAATATCCATGGTTGCATATGCATTATGAAACAAACCTCAAACAACTGCTTGGTCACCTGTCAGTGCCTTCAGAGTGCCAGGAGTGCTGAGGATAAGGTAGGAGAATTCCAAGCTAATGTAATAATGGGCTATATACAAACACATGCTTCAAAAGTAATCCCAATATTTTCAAGGTGAAGGCATGGAGACAAGGTATTAAAGGATAGCCTAGGTTAAATGGTGAGAGTCCATCCTCTGCTACTTTGAAACCCTGCTTAAAAACAAATATGCAAACGAGAAAACTAAAATACAAGAGAAAGCAAAAGAAACAGAAAAACTGCAGTAAAATACACAGTATTTAATGAATTAAAACCAATAAAGAATTTCTTAAGTTCTTTAAGGAGACATCTAGAAAAATGAGCAGTACACTTGGCCATGGTTTGATGGCTTCATTGTTATTCTTTATTTTTCCATTCTCACTAAAATAATTTCAATGTATTATTATTTACCAACATGTTTAATATAACTGTTTATTCTATAAAAATTTTAATACTGGATCATGATAAAATGAGTTATTTAAAAAAACATGTATTACTTTACTTAACTATTTAGACAAGTACCCATGAGTATAAGTAATGGATCCAAACACACAAAGTTGGTGGTCATAATGGAATAGTCAGAACCTGAAGCTGGGTTGGGATACACTGTGAACAAAAGGTATTGTAAGTTTAACAACTCATATTTTTGTCATATGAATATGAGGATTTCCAAGAACTTCAGGACATAGAGAAAGATGTAGTTAATTTCAGAGAGGCCTGAATTTACAAGTCTCTTTCCTGTCAGATACTCTGTTGACCGGCATACTGATATGGATCGTGTTTTCAGTATTCACTCAGAAAATGGCTCTATCTTCACTGTGAAGCCCCTGGACAGGGAATCCTCTCCTTGGCACAATATCACAGTTACAGCCACAGAGACAAGTAAGTTATAGCTATGTCCATCTGAACCTGTTTGACCAAAGTAGTACATAGATGACAAAATAATATACTCTTGTGAATTATTGTAACAGTGGTAATATCTAAGAAAAATGAATCAGCAGATGTTAGTACTTTGTGTTAATATTTATTTAAAGATTAACAAATTACTTATATGTGTTTTAATTTTTTTTACAAGTAGTAATGGATTTGAGTTGCATCTAACATCATAATAAATCATTCTTGAGATTATGGACATTGTCAGTATTATTTCTTACCCTCCATTATATTTTCCTTTTTTATTACACATTTTTTGGCCAAGTAATAAAGGTAAGATATTTGCCAGAAATCTAAGTGAGCTAGAGAATAGAGGGAATTGATTAGTCACTAAAATATGAATGTTGGTTATAGCTTTATAGCTTCTTTTACAAATGGCATTGAAAATTTACATGAAGTTTTTGTTTCAGATAACCCAAAACAAACTACCCAAATTCCTGTCTTCATTAGAATTCTTGATATAAATGATCATGCTCCGGAATTTGCCATGTATTATGAAACATTTGTTTGTGAAAATGCAAAATCTGGTCAGGTAAGTGCAGTTATTATAAACTTTATAAATATTCTTTGGTAACGCTGAAATCGTGTCAATTGCAAGACATTTTATTGTACTATTACTGATTTTTTTTTATGTACACTCACCAAAGTATCACAATGATGTTTAAAATGTGACTTTTGAAATTATTTTTAACTTGACTATGGGGAAAAATAAGCACATTTATAGCATGTCCAAAAGCTCTCATATAGAGTTATAATTAGACTAACATTGAGTCATATTTACTCATGTCTTCTGTATAAACTTTAAATGAACATTTATATGTATTAAATATTTCTATTTTAATATTCAATTTTGGTAGTTTCATTGTTCATGTCTTGCTACACTACCAGCTCAGAAGAGTACAGTTTGCTCTAAATTTATTTTTCATTATAGAATTTCCGTTTTACTGTGTTTACATACCCAATGTTGCCTTTTGAGGGGTACAATTTATGTGTCATTCCTTAGAGACACAATTTTATAGTGAGGAAAGGATATCCTCATTAAGTACAAGTAAAAAAGTTTAAGAGATCATGGCTTTAGAAAAATGACAAAACAAATTATTAATTGAATTAATCAATTTTCCATAAAGTTGGGTGTTCAAGTTACCAGGAAATAGAAAACAATGCACTGAAATACCAAATAAACTTTGCTTCAGAGATAACTTTCATTATTGCTTAAATGTTATCTGAGATGACAACAGTAAGTCCATAAAAACAATACCTTTGGTGTGTTTTTCTGAAAATGATACATATATGTTCAACATTTTAATTAAATAAAAAATTTAAACAGTAGCATTGCTCTAGCAAATCATAGCTACTTAAAAAGTTCTTGAATAAACTAAGTTTTGTTTCTATTTTGCAGCATTGAATTAATAACTATGGTTTGATTTCAGCTGATTCAAACAATTAGTGTCATGGACAAAGATGACCCTCCCAGAGGACACAAGTTCTTCTTTGAGCCAGTGCCAGAATTTCCTCTCAACCCAAACTTCACCATTGTTGACAATAAAGGTAAAGGACATCTATAAAAATTAAAGTGTCAATTATTAAGGTGAACAATTATTGAGGCGTGCTGGCTTCTTTTGTCATCTCAGCACCTTGGAAGTGATCTCAGGAACATCAAGGAGTTCAAAGTCGTTCTCTAGATGGAGGATTGAGGCTAACCTAGGGTACATGAGATCATATCTCCTGAAACCAAAGATAGGAAGTGTAGTGGGATATTCACTTTGTCTCCTTCTGTGGCACTGACCACGCCCATTGGGGGTGGAGCCAGGATCGAAAGTGACCTGGGGAAATAGGTAGTAGGAGGCAAGGAAGAACGATCTCTTGAAAGCTGCATGGGACAGGAGGACTTCCTGAGGAATTCTTGGAAGTAGGAACCTGCTGATGTTCACCTGTCTATGTTGTGAGCTATTTCTCCTTGAATAAACATCTTTTAGGCCTAATTGTTTATCCTCATCCTTATAAACCGTGATAAGGAAGAATGTATTGAAGGCACCAGAGAAGTAGGAAAAGAGAGAAGGAAGAGAAGGGAAAAAGTATGACGATTTATTTCTAATAGTCTTTTTTCTTCTTCAGATAACACTGCAGGAATCATAACTCGAAAAGATGGGTACAGCCGCACCAAAATGAACACATACCTACTGCCAGTTTTAATCTTTGACAATGATTACCCTATTCAAAGCAGCACTGGAACGCTCACTATCCGTGTGTGTGCGTGTGATAACCAAGGGAACATGCAGTCTTGCAATGCAGAGGCCCTGATTCTTCCTGCTGGCCTGAGCACAGGAGCGCTCATAGCAATTTTGCTTTGTGTCATCATTCTGCTCAGTAAGCTACGTATCTCTCAATTTTCCCCTCCCTAAGGTCTTCTTCTCCATGGCCCAGATGGAGATGTTTATGATGTTGTGCATATCTATAATTTTACGACAATTATTCTCAATAACAAAATCATACCCCACATATTGTTGTTTGAGGGAGAAATGATTCATTGTCTAAAGCTATAAAACAAGATATAAGTAACAAGAGTCTTACAATCATAGCATGAAGGCATTATGGTCAAAGGTCGATTTAATGATTAATCCTATATAATCTGTTCAGCTCAGAAATGGCTAAAAAAGCAGGTGCAACCCTTGTCTTGTGTGATTGCATGCCTACGTATACTTGTGTAAAGGTGACTCATAGAGTCATGTGTGGAGCCTGAAGTCAGTATCACATGCCTTTATCCAATGGTTACCACCTTATTTATTGACACTGGATATCTAACAAAACCTAGAAATCACAGAATTGGCTATATTGGCTGGTTAGTCCTTCTCTAAGTTTCTCCTCATACTTCTATTATCAGAGTTACAGGGTTCTATCATTATGTGCGGCACTAAACCTATCTGCTGGAGATTTGAACTAATGGCCTCATTCTTGTCAAGCAAGCTAACAAGCCAACTATCCATTGAGCCATCTCCCTAACTCCCAAATGGCATTTCTAAAATGCATTTATTAGCATATTAACACAATTATTTCTACCTTAAAAGTCTCTATCCTAATCTCAGAACTAAGCATATTTCAGCTTTAAAGATTTTTTTTTATTAACAATATAAAATTGGTAGAAAAAACAGGCATTAATGTGGCCACTTTAAGATATTTTCCTGACTGAACTATTATAAGACACACACACACACACAAAATAAATAAATAAATACGAAAAACTTAGCTTTTGAAAGATCATATGAGAGAGTAATCACAGATGCCTCACTCAGATTTTTCGGATTAAATCCTGTTTCTGATAGAACACGTTTTATCTAAGCACACACTAACACAGCAATGATTTAATTTAATTAAACAGTTGCTGCACTGTAAACCACTCCAAAAATTATTTCTATAAAATATTCATCCAAAATTTTGTACTTAGGGCATGAAAGCTTGCCAAGTTTACGTGCTAAATGTTCATGTATGCTGGCTTCTTTTTTTTTGCAATAAATCCTTTCAGGCTCTCTCAATAAAATCCCCTTTGCCAGATGTGTTTGTAGAACTTCACTAGGGGTTTGATAAAAGTGAATGGAAAACATTTGTTTCATTTAATATCATCTTGCTATTGAGAAAGAAAATGAGGGTGTTTTGCCCTTAAGACACCATTTCTGCCCAGTCCAGGGTTTCAAGCATGATTATGGTCTCATCTATGGCAAGAACTTTATAAATTTTGAGCACAGAGACCCCTCTGGCACTATGATGAATCTTATGATTTAATTATCGTACAACTTAATTTAGAAGAATGTTGTGATGGTAGCTGAAGGATAAAGTATATTGGCATTATGAAGCACTAAGTTTGATACTAGACTTTATGTAAAACCAAACAAATGTAAGTAATAATATCTGTAGGAATAAAATACATAATAGTAAAAGAATGTCTAAGCAAATTCAAGAATGCTAATAAACTTTAAAAATACCTGTCAAAATGAAAATGCTATACAAAGTGCCTATTTCTTTTTCTTTTTCATTTTCTTTTTTTTTTTTACTAATAAAGATTAAGGTTTTATTTATTTTAATAGAGTAATGTTTTCTTTATATTACTCCCAGATAAGCCTGAATAAAGGTTGAGTCCTAATAAAATATTATTTGTGGGATTGATCCGAGGTTAGCAATTGACCTGGAGATGCAGGACAGTGGTAGAGTGCTTTCCACCCATACTCAAAGTCCAGTACTACAATAATAACAACAATAATAATAACAACAACAACACAACCTAACAAAATTAAATCAGAGTACAATGAAAGCAATGGAAAAATTGAAGCTAATTTATTGTTAATTTCAACGACATATGCCCTCCCCTTCTAGCCTTTGAGGCAAGATCTCAGTAGGCAGTCTGGGCTAGATTCAAAGGGTCTTGCTGCTTTAGGCCCTAAAATACTAGAACTATAATTATGTATAGTGAAGACTGGATCATGAGTAAATTTGGCAAATGTTGGCTTCCTAAAATAAATGAAATGCAGTTTTTAAATTCTCTCCTGTTTAAATAAATTTTTAAAAATTGATAATTTTTTCTTCAATTAAATATTTTCCTCACAATATGTATTTATTGTATTTTGATTTAGTTCTTATTTTTCTCTTGTATAAATAAGAGGATTGACTGAATTTTCATATAAATTTCAAAATTTAGAAATCATACTGAATTTTAATTTTTTGAAAGCATTTTATAAGAGATAAGAAAATTAATTAATTGGTAAAATGTTTTTCATGAAAAAGTTTCAGAAAACCAGCATGCAGGGATAACAGGTAAGGAGGAAAACATGAAGGACAGCCATTCTAACCAATGGTGATTTCTACATTCAGTGAAAGATCCTAATTCACAAACCATTGTATATAGAGACCAAGAAATACCTCCAATATTAACCGTTATATCACACACACACACACACACACACACACACACACACACATACACAGGCACACACACACACACACAAATACAAGCTTAAGCAAATATACATATGCATACAGTACATCCTAGTGTATAAACATTAAGAAAAGATGGTGAGAAAGCTGTAAGTTTACTGTGTGGGAAAGTGCTTAATTACATCTATAGAAAAGTACATGAATAAAAAATAGAAGGCTATATAAATGAAACAAATTAATATTTTAGTCCCAAATCTTGAATATGTTTGTGAATTGTGAATGATCTCAGTAAGAAAAATCTTATTGTAGCTGCCCTATGTGAGAGTATAAGTTAAACTTGATTTGAAATTTGTATTACATTTAGGTCATAGAGTTGCACTTCATATTTTCCAGAAAGTTTTCAAAACCATACCACTAAGGAAATTTAGATAAATATCTGCTCAATATTTAAAAAGATCAATTATTATTTATATACATTATATAAATATATGTGTATATGTGTATAATAAATTTACATATATAGAAATATATTTATTTATGTGCTTTTATAGGAGAGATTATTTATATACATAACCCTAAATTTTTACTGGTGACAATGACTGAATATTTATATTTTTAAACTTGAGATAAATGTGCATTCCATGAGAATGAGATTGCAGTTCATTTTAGTTGACCAAATGCAATAATGCATAAATAGTATTTTCAATACTGATGGTTCACAGACATTGTAATGTAAATTAATATTGCTTTAATATCTTCCATTTTCATTGTTTATTTTACTGCTTTTATTTTATTTTAAATCATGCATTGCTTTCTTTTATTGTTCTAATCAGATATTTATTTCATGTCTCCAGATGATCAACTAAACTTTACATGAACTAGAATTATGTGTATTATCTCTAATCATGAATCTCACTGTCTGTTCATGTCTCAACAATAGCTCTAATCGTGCTGTTTGCTGCATTGAAGAGGCAACGAAAAAAGGAGCCTCTGATTATCTCAAAGGATGATGTCCGGGACAATATTGTAACTTATAATGATGAAGGTGGTGGAGAAGAAGATACCCAGGCTTTTGACATTGGCACATTAAGGAACCCGGAAGCAAGAGAAGACAGTAAACTTAGGAGAGATGTCATGCCTGATACCATTTTTCAGATAAGGAGGACAGTACCCCTGTGGGAAAATATTGATGTACAGGATTTTATTCACCGGAGATTAAAAGAAAATGATTCCGACCCAAGTGCACCTCCCTACGACTCCCTGGCCACTTATGCCTATGAAGGGAATGATTCCATAGCTAATTCGCTCAGTTCCTTAGAGTCTCTCACTGCTGATTGCAACCAAGATTACGATTACCTTAGCGATTGGGGGCCTCGGTTCAAAAAACTCGCTGATATGTATGGAGGTGATGATAGTGACCGGGAATGAGTCCTTTATGACTTGATCAATGTTAGTGGAAATACTCTTTGATACGAGATTGAGTGGCCTGTATTATCCTTTTTCTGGAGGAAGTTTTTAAAAATCAACTCCAAACAATACATAACTGTTGTCTTAGTAAGGATTTGCTTAATCAGTAAGTTTCTGTGAATGAATATGAATGACATAGATTTTAAAACAGTAATAACAACCTTTCACCCTCTTTGCCTAATGAGCTTGGAAAAATATATTACATAAATAATCAATAAAAATTCTTGAAAGGCTTTTTGTGCCTTGTCTTAGTTTAGGAAATTTATAAATGTTTTCTTAACTGATTGTCAGTCACATGTATTATGAAACTAAACATTGTGCAACTGCTTTGTAAATTAATATTGAAGAAAATATACCTAATTAAAATAGGAGTGACTATTACTGCCATATTTATTTAGTTGAAAGATGTCTTTGTGTTAATTCACTCATATTTTTATAAATGTATATTTATATTTTTGTATTTTTATGAAATAAACTGATATTTATAAAAATAAATTTCATTTTACTTAATTTCTTGGAGCAGCTGATCTCAAAACAGAAGTGTTTTATCTCTCTGAGTGTAAAACATGATTTACTCAGGGAAAAGCAGTTTAGAAGTCAGTGCAGAAGATACCCATATAAACTGAGATAGCTCCAGGGATGAACTGTACTATGAATTGTTCTTCCTTTGTTTTGATTGTTTAAGTGTGGACAAATGTTTTTGAACTATTAATGTCTACTCATTGATTATGACATTGATTTGGGAAATATATATATATATATATATATATATATATGTCAATAAACTACATTTTTCTTCAAGATTTATCAAACCATGCATTGTATTTGAATACATGGTGTGTATGTCTAAGATGCTGCAGAGATTAGAAAAAGCCCCAAACTAATTATTTCACAAATAATCATTTGAAAATGAGAAAAGGTAATCAAGAGTCTGTCTGTCTCTCTCTCTCTCTCTCTCATTCTGTGTGTGTGTGTATGTGTGTGTGTATGAATGCTGGTTGGGAAATTCAGTGGATATATTTTCAGTTCTTGGTAACATATTAAAATGTTTATTACTCTCTACAATTTCAAACTGGAAAAAATTACCAGTACAGAGAAGAAGAAGAGAACACAAAGTCAAACTACTATCTAAAGAGTTATTTGCTATTGATGCCTGCTGGGAAATGGCAGATACATTATCTTCAATAGAGTGTCACTGTTTATAACAACCAACTTCATAGTATGCCTCATGTTTGTGACAGTAGGTCAGTACAAACATTTCTGTGTATTTTTTTCTGCATTTGTTTTTGTTTTGTTCTATTTTATTTTGTTTTGAAGCTCTTTTTCTTGTTATTTTGGAGTTGTTTTGTTTTGGTTTTTTAAGAGTGTGAGAAAGAACAGGAAGTTTTTTTTAATATAGGGAGTTAGAAAGGATCTGGGAGGAGTTGGAGGAGGGGAAGGAGGGGGGAAGTATTGAAAAAGACTACTGGAAAGTGGGGGCATCTCAAGATCAGGTTGAAATGTGACACACCTGAATCCCCAAGGACTCTACAAGGATGAGCCCATCTAAGCGATCTCGCAATGTTAGATATATAGCCAGAACTGGCCATCTCTGGTGAACAGGCAAGACTTCAAATGAAGGAAGAGGGAAACCAAGCCATTCCCATAATCTTCAACTCATACTGTGTCCTGTCTATGGGATGGGATTGAATTGGTGCCCAGCCGAATTTTCATTAATGAGGTTTAATCCAGCAATTGATGGAAATAGATGATGACCTATAGCCAAACATTAGGCAGAGTTCAGGGACTACTGCTGAAATGAGACAGAAAGTATTACAGGAGACTGAAGGATCAAGGAAACCACAAGAAAACTGGCAGAATCAACTAATCTGGTCTCTTAGGGGCTCACAGAGATTGAATAGACAAACTAGGAATCTGCAAGGTAATATATATATTACATTGTGCGGCTGGGTCAGTTTGTGGGACTCCAAACTGTGGTGATAGGGACTATTTGCAAGTCCTTTACTCGCTTGTGGGATGCTACTTCCCATACTGCTGGGTCACCTTAATACATGGAAAGTGGTTAGTTTACTGCACCTTGATATGCCATGTTTTGTTGATACTCATGGGAGACCTGCACTTTCATGGATAGGGATGAAAGAGGAAGATATTGGGGTGGGTGGGAACATAGAGTGTGTATGAGGGGCAGACAACTGAGAGGTGAGGAAAAAAGAGAAACTGCAACCCATATGTAACATAAATTTTAGAATATATATATATATATATATGTGTGTGTGTGTGTGTGTGTGTGTGTGTGTATATATATAATAAATTAAATTAAGTTTGTAAAATTATTTGTATTTTATTTACATTAGTGTTTTGTCTGCGTTTGTATCTGTGTGAGGGTGTCATATCCCCTTGAAATGGAGTTATAGGCACCTGTGAGCTGCCACTAGGTGCTTGTAATTAAACCTTGGTACTGTTAAAATTTTTTAAAGCAGAAGAGAAAGTTGCTATGCAAAAGAGTTCATGTGGAGGGATATCTTACTAAGAGTATGGGAAAAGTGGGCAGGTATGAGGGAGACCCATCTTTGGGATAGGAGTGGGAGAAGAGAAGAGAAGAGAAGAGAAGAGAAGAGAAGAGAAGAGAAGAGAAGAGAAGAGAAGGAAGGTTGGAAGGGAAGGGAAGGGAAGGGAAGGGGCAGAAAGAGACAGGCAGAGAAGAGGGGTAAGTTTGGCAGGGCCTTTTAAAATGACAACTTAGTGAATCTGCACAGGAGTTGCTCTTCAGTGGCTGCAGCTGAGGGCAGCCAGTAGTTTCCTGAATAATAACAGGTACTCTGGAAGAGAAGCCAGTGCTTTTATCCACTGATCCATTTCACCAGCCCCATGAAATTAAATTTTAAAATGATTTAAACAATACAATATTGGCTTTTAGTAATAATTTTATCAAGACTAGTACATAGCATTTGCAAAAGAAAAAAAAAAAAGATGTAAGCAGTATGATTATTATTATACAGGCATCTCTACTGACCCGTTCTTGCAGTTCTGACAGGACAGTTCTCAGCTGTAGCCACTAATAGCACCACCAGTGCACATTCAGTACATTCTGATATAAAAAGGACATACCCACCTCCCATTTCTCTTCTCTGTTTCTCTCTTTCTCTGTCTGCTGTCTGTTGTTTCTCTCTGCTTTTCTGCTTGTGTTTCTGCCCCCCCCCACCTGCCTTTCTTTTTTCTTTCCTGATGCTCCTATCCCCAGAGACTGGTCTCCCCACTCCCCTCCCTCCTTTTCCCATTCCCTTTCCAAAAGAAATCCCTCCTAGTGAGCAGTGTCTCAGGGAGTCTTTCTCCTGCCACATTTAAAATCACAGCAATGATGATTTACTAATAATTAGAATTATCAATAAAGAGAAGGCAGGCTCCTAAGAATTGTAGAAGAAAAAAGGAAATGAATCAAATGTGTCTCCAGTTAGGAGAGGCACTTGGGCAGATGATGATACTGTTTTGGATGCAGTATGAAACCAAAATAAACATTCATGGAGAAATGGCAGGGTAATTAATTTTCTGTGTAAAAAAAATGCCCACCTTCTTGTTGAAGTCCAAATTTAAGTAGTAAATAGCACGGTTCATAGGGAATACAATTAATTTTGGCTAGCCTGTTACTTAGAGTTTTATTTTCTTTTTCTTTTTTATTTTATTATTTTTTTATTTTACAGGTCAATCCCAATTCCCTCTCCCTCCCTCTCTTTTACCCCCTCTCCCCCCTCACATGCACCCTGATCACCCTCCCCTCCTATTCCCCCACCCCCATTCCACATGTAGAGCTATGCCATCCAGGTGGGGTCATAGAAATCTGTCAAGGCATTTGAAGTATGGACTAGGACATCTCTCCTGTCTCTAGGTTAATGGAGTGCCCCACCATGGGGGATGTGACCACAAGGTCCTTTTGTGCACAAGGAATACATCCTGGTTCCACTGTCTGAGGTTCCTTAGACTGCTCAGTCCTTCTAACTGAGACCCATATTCAGGGGGTCTGAATCAGTCCCATGCCAGATTCCGAGCTATCAATCTGGGTGGCATATTAGCTCCTCCTTGTTCAGGTCAGCTGTCTCTACGTGTTTCTGCAACCTGGTCTTGTCCTCTCCCTCTGCTTCTGGATTCTAGTTCGACTTGGTGATTAATTATGGATGTTTGCTTCTGTTTCCAACAGGTACTAGATGAGGGCTCCATGATGGTGGATAAATTAGTTGTTGATCTCACTATCAGGAAAGGGCATTTCTGGTAGCCTTTCCAAGGTTGCTCAAATTGTTATTTGGAGTCAGGTTCAATTTTTTCTTCAAACCAATAATGGCTCCCTCTTTTATGTTCTCTCTCTCTCTTTCTTTTCTGTCTTCTATTCCTACCCTGACTCAATCTTCCTAGTCGCATGTGCTTTCCTCTCCTCCCCTCCTGTTTCTCCTAGTTTCTAGAAGCCCCTCAATTGAAGAATGGATAAAGAAGATGTGGCACATCTACACAATGAAATACAACTCTGCAGAAAAAAAAATAATGGAATCTTGAAATTCGCAGGCAAGTAGATGGAACTTGAAGAAACCATCCTAAATGAGGTAACCCAGTCACATAAAGACAAACATGGTATGTACTCGCTCATATATGAATTTAAGACCTAGAGCAAAACAAAAGACCCAGGATAGCCAAAACAACCCTGTACAATAAAAGTTCTGAAACCAGCCAGGTATTGGCACAAAAATAGACAAGTAGACCAATGGAATCTAATTGAAAATCCTTATATCAACCCACACACATATGGACACCTGATTTTTGACAAAACAGCTAAAAGAATACAATGGAGGGAGGAAAGCATCAAATGGTGCTGGCAAAATTGGATGATGGTGTGGAGAAAACTGCAGATAGACCCATGTCTATCGCCATGCACAAAACTCAAGTCCAAATGGGTCAAAGACCTCAACATAAATACT